GGAGAATTAGTAAAAGATAGAGGGAAGAGAGAGACAGAAAGACCAGTAGAGAGGGAAGTGAGATAAAGAGTATTAGTGAGAGAGAGAAAGAGAATTAGAGAGAGAAAGAGAGAGAGACAATCGATATTTAATCCTAAATCTTACAAGATGGAGAGGCTTAGTGTGTGTGTGTGTGTGTGTGTGCGCGTGTGTGTGTGTGTGTGTGTGTGTGTGTAATTAAACTTGTCGACGATAGAACACAACACGATCACAGTCCTATTCCATTATCCGTGTAGTATTTTGTGTCCTGGGGGGGCGCTGATCACTTTTACTGATAACTTAACTCTATTTATGATTATTGTAACCATTGAATATAAAAGAGTTAGGTTAGGTTAAGTTAGGTTAGGCTATCTCACGTTTATGGTATATTACGCTAAGTTAGGTTAGGTTATGGCAGCTTAACTTAATCTACCTATATTAAAGTTGAGATTGGCTCTTAACTAACCACCTATTGAATTCCTAAGCGCAATATTCCATTAATAACCCTGAAAAGTTTCCAAATATCGGCCGCTGTGTACGAGAGATTATTTTTTTCCCTCTACCCAAATTCATTATCTCTCATGAGTACGAATTTTCCTCTCGTTGGGAAAACTATAGCGCGCTTAGTCGGCTGCTTCAATTCAGTTAATTTGAGTTGGAATAAAAAACACAAACATTTGGAACAGTTTTCAGCCAGTTGATCGAGGCATGGCGTAGGAATTCTCGTCACGGTGTATTTAAAGAGGATATAGCCCAAATTATTCATGGGAGAAGCCTTCGTTTGACACACTATTGCCCGGGGCCAGCTGGGATGGTGTGTGTGTGTGGTGCGGTAGGGTGTGGTATGGATGGGGTGTAGCGGGTCAGTGTGTTTGTTGGTGGTGGTGGTGGTGTAACAGTGTGAGCAAAGGCCTTCAATAACATGGTTACATATTGATTGTCTGGTGGTGATGGTGGTAGTGGTGGTGGTGGTGGTAGTAGTGATGATGGTAGTGGTAATGATAGCAATGGTGGTGGTGAATTTGATAATGATAGTGATGTCTGGTAGTAGCAATGGTGATAATAGTGGTGGTTTTAGTGGTGGTGTTGGTGGCCGCTTTTGTACACCTTCCAGCATCGTCCACTAAATTATGCAACTTGACGCCCGCGGGTTAGTTAAACTGCCCGGGGAGTTGTGAGCTGTCCTTTGTACCCTGTTATGAAGTTTGGAATACAGGGACACGTGACAACACTTCAGGCACTTAATTTGTGGTGAATATATAATTATTATACCACGCGTGAGAAAAAAAAAATATAGTCGTGATAGGAATTGTAGTGTTGTTTGTCCTGGTGTACGTATTGTATGTCTTGGGAAGAATTGTATGTATGAGTGTTTCAATTATTCACGTACACATTCTTACATACACACATACACACACTACTACTATACTACTTTGCTGTCATTCGGAATCGAGTATGACGATCATCCAGCTATGATACCGTGATAATTATGAGTTATTAAGGATGTCACCTTCGCTGGTGAGTTTTGAGGTGACTAAAGAGGCCGATACGGGACCGGTAGAGTCGTTCATAGATGTTGCACATGTGGAGGGCTAAATCTAGTGCGGGAGGGGTGGCGGCAGCGTCTTGCCGGAGTTGGCGCTTGTCTGCCTCGGTTTGCAGTCGGGGTAACTCGAAAGTATTGACACCTTCTCGTGTGGTGCTCCTCCAAGCGTTACGGTGTGGAGTAATCGTCTCCCAGGTGAGGGGGTCGATTTGGCACTTTTTCAGGTTTGTCTTAAGACTATCCTTATACCTTTTCAGTTGCCCGCCGGCGTTACGTTTACTATTCGTTAGGTGACTGTAAAGTAGCTGCTTTGGCAGTCTACTGTCGTCCATGCGGGTAACATGGCCAGTCCAGCGTAGTTGTTCATGAATAATGGTAGCCTCGATGATCCTACAGTTGGTGTCAGCAAGAATACTGGCATTTGTTCTCTTGTTTTCCCAGCGAACTCGGAGGATGAAATATAGACTACGTTGGTGAAAGTTTTCACACACACACAAGCAATTTATACTCTACTTCTGCTATACAGTATATATTTTTTCACTCAATGCTGCACACACACACACACACACACACACACACACACACACACACACACAGGTAATTCAGTCACCACAGTTTGTTTATGATGGAATGAAGGCTAAATGAGGAACTGGTGTTTATTAAGTCCCTTGATGTTGGTGTTTATAAAAGTCCCTTGATGTTGGTGTTTGTAAAGTCCCTTGATGTTGATGTTTACAGATGTTACTTGTTCAAAACATCAGTATGTAGTCCATCCATCAAGCTCACCTCATTATCGAGGTAGTAGATAATGACGAAAATTACGATGTTATTTACTTAGACTTTAGCAAAGCATTTGACAGAGTACCGCATCACAGGGTTCTGAGAAAAATTAAGGCTCATGGTATCGAGGAGAAAGTTTTAAATTGGATAAAATCATGGCTCACCGATAGAACGCAGAGGGTCAGCGTAGATGGTGTTAAATCTGTGTGGGGCCGTGTAACCAGTGGGGTTCCCCAGGGGTCAGTACTAGGCCCACTCTTGTTCATAATCTACATAAACGATCTAGATACTGGGATCAGCAGTGACATAAGCAAGTTTGCGGATGACACCAAAATAGGGCGGCAGGTTAATTCAGGGCAGGATGCAAATGCATTACAGGAGGATCTAAACAAACTGCAGGGGTGGTCTGAAAAATGGCAAATGAAATTCAACACCAGCAAGTGCAGCGTACTTAATATTGGAAGAACAAATACTGACAATGTATACAGCCTTAACAACATCAACCTAGAGAAGTCGACTTGTGAAAGAGACCTAGGGGTACTTGTAAGCCCGGACCTACGGCCTAGAAAACAGTGCGTTAATGTTCGAAATAAGGCAAACAGAGTATTGGGTTTTATATCTAGAAGTGTAAGTAATAAGAGTGCAGAGGTCTTATTGCAACTACATCTTGCGCTAGTCAGGCCGCACCTCGATTATGCGGTTCAGTTCTAGTGCCCTTATTATAGAATGGATATAAATTCACGAGAGTCGGTGCAGCGAAGAATGACGAAAATGATTCCGGGACTTAGAAACCTTCCATATCAGGATAGGTTAAAGAAACTTAACTTGCATTCTCTAGAAAGACGAAGAGTGCGGGGAGATATGATAGAAGTATTTAAGTGGGTGAAAGGAATCAATAAAGGGGATATAGATAAAGTTCTTATAATAGCCGAGCAGGATAGGACTCGGAGCAACGGATTTAAGTTGGATAAGTTTAGGTTTAGGAGGGAGACAGGAAGAAACTGGTTCACAAATAGGATGGTGGACGAGTGGAACAAGCTTAGCAACTTTGTAGTAAGTGCTGGAACTCTGGAAAGTTTCAAAAGGAGGCTAGATAGATTCATGGGTGAAAGAGAGTGGTCGTAACTCTCGACAGGAGCTGCCATGCACAGGCCAACCGGCCTATTGCAGACTCCTTATTTTCTTATGTTCTTATGTGTGTGTGTGTGTGTGTGTGTGTGTGTGTGTGTGTGTGTGTTGGAGGATCTTACAATGAAGCTTAGCGGTCATCATCATTACCAGTCAGACATTGTGCAGGGTTATTTGGGGAGGTCACGAAGCCACGGGGAGGTCAATAATACCTATGTCAGAGGTCACGAGATGTCAGAGGTCACGGAATTAGAGGGCACGAGGTCAGAGGTCACGGCAGGTAGCCAAATAAGTGTAAGTGAATAGTGAGGGTAAACTGCAGGGTTAGGTTAGATTAGGTTGGGTTAGATTATGTTAGGTTAGGTCAAGTTAGGTTAGGTTAGGTGTACATAACAAGTTAGAACTATGTAATAAACCTTAGGTAAATAGACGAGACGAAATACTTAACACCCGGAGCATCACAGATAGAAAATGCTGCGTTGGCCCCCTCCTCCTTCACACCTTTCCCCTTCACCCCATCCCTCCTCACCTCACTTCCTAACCCCTTCCCACACCCCTCTCCCTCACCCAACCCTACCTCACATCCTCACATCCCTCCCCACCCTCACCCCTCTCCCTCCTCCCTCACCCCCCCTCACAGCTCCAGCAATGTTGCGTGTCTTCATCGCTGTGACCACCGCCAACACGTCGCCACCTTATCATACAGTCACCACAACCTTTCAGCCCCCACCCTCCACCTCCCACCCATCCCCACCCCTCCCCTGCATGACGGCCGGGGGAAACTTCTTTGTCTGTTATCTCAATCAGACTTTAATTAGTTGTAAAGTTTTTTTTTAAACCTAACCTAACCTAACACAATTTGGCATCAATCTCAACTATTTTAACCTAACTATTCAGTCTAACCTAACCTAACCTAACCTAACCTAACCTAACCTAACCTAACCTAACCTTACCTAACATGGTTTGAAGGCCACTAATCAGTAATCTGACTCGGCTGTTACATTAGCTAGTCCCTCTGTGATTAGAGTGTATCCTGAGGTAGCCATGTTTGACAGCTGAGTCAGTTCATCTTGGCGGAGGAGAGGAGAGGAGAGGAGGAGAAGAGGAGGGACGGGAGAGGAGAGGAGGGGGAAGAAGAGATCAGATGGGAGGGATAGGCAGGAGAAAGAAGAGGTGGGTAGAGGAAAGGAAGAGAGGAGTGAAGGGGAAGTAGAGGAGAGAGAATGAGGGGAGAGGTGTAGAAGAGAGAAGAGGGGAGTAGAGGTAAGGGAGAGAGTGAGGATAAGAGGAGAGGGGAGGGGGAGAGGAGGAGGAGGAGAAAGGGGACAGCAAAAGGAGGAAGAGAAGAAATGAGGGGGGACGAGGGAGGAGGAGGAGGAGGTGGGAAGAGGGAGGAGTGGAAAGTAGAGTAGGGAAGAAGTCGGAGGGAGAGTAAGGGAGAAGGGAGGAGAGTAAGGAGGAGGAGGAGGTGCAGGGGAATATAAATGGGCGCGCCCTTCCTCCTCCATTATGGTGAGGTGGACATAATTCAGCCTGTCGGTAGAGGTGACCTGCCCTTCTGCTGAGGTTGCTTGTCGTTCTTGCCTGCTGATGTTGCTTGTCGTTGTTGCCTGCTGATGTTGCTTGTCGTTGTTGCTTGCTGATGTTGCTTGTTGTTGCCTGCTGATGTTGCTTGTTGTTGCCTGCTGATGTTGCTTGTTGCTTGCTGAGGTTGCTTGTCGTTGTTGCCTGCTGATGTTGCTTGTCGTTGTTGCCTGCTGATGTTGCTTGTCGTTGTTGCTTGCTGAGGTTGCTTGTTTGTTGCCTGCTGATGTTGCTTGTTGTTGCTTGCTGAGGTTGCTTGTCGTTGTTGCCTGCTGATGTTGCTTGTCGTTGTTGCCTGCTGATGTTGCTTGTCGTTGTTGCCTGCTGATGTTGCTTGTCGTTGTTGCCTGCTGATGTTGCTTGTCGTTGTTGCCTGCTGATGTTGCTTGTCGTTGTTGCCTGCTGATGTTTGTCGTTGTTGCCTGCTGATGTTGCTTGTTGTTGCCTGCTGATGTTGCTTCTTGTTGTTGCTTTGATGTTGCTTGTGTTGTTTTGCCTGCTGATGTTGCTTGTTGTTGCTTGCTGGTTGCTTGTCATGTTGCCTGCTGAGGTTGCTTGTCGTTGTTGCCTGCTGATGTTGCTTCTTGTTTTTGCTTGCTGATGCCTTGTCGTTGTTGCCTGCTGATGTTGCTTGTCGTTGTTGCCTGCTGATGTTGCTTGTTGTTGCCTGCTGATGTTGCTTGTTGTTGTTGCTTGCTGATGTTGCTTGTCGTTGTTGCCTGCTGATGTTGCTTGTTGCTTGCTGAGGTTGCTTGTCGTTGTTGCCTGCTGAGGTTGCTTGTCGTTGTTGCCTGCTGAGGTTGCTTGTCGTTGTTGCCTGCTGATGTTGCTTGTCGTTGTTGCCTGCTGAGGTTGCTTATCGATGTTGCTTGCTGAGGTTGCTTGTCGTTGTTGCTACTGCACTACCACACCACTACACTACACTTTACCCTACACCACTACACTACACTCACCACTACACTACACTCACACACCCCAACACCACTACACTACACTACACCCAACACCACTACACTACACTATACTTTAACCCAACACCACTACACTACACTACACTTACACACCACTACACCACTTACCCACACTACACTACACTACACTTTACCCTACACCACTACACTACACTATACCTTAACCACACCACACACTACACTGCACTACACCCAACACCACACTACACACTGGCCAAGAACACCCAAGTAAGCCTGAAGAAGCTCAACACTTCATCTTTAAGCTGAACCTGTGTAAATATACTTGTGTTTTGTGTATTGAGTTGATTCTCCGTGTGTGTGTGTGTGTGTGTGTGTGTGTGTGTGTGTGTGTGTGTGTGTTAGTACAATGTTTATATATAGCTGAAGAAATTATTTCCATATCGTTCATTGGGTAGGGAGGTATGAGGTCACGAGAGAGAGAGAGAGGCATAATAGCGACATAAGATAAACTTTGCCCGTGGGAGAAGGTTTTTGGGGTGTTCTGAGTTCTGAATCATGGAGTTGTGTCTGGCTACTCTCTCTCTCCCTCTCTCTCTCTCTCTCCACCCTCTTCTCTCACATTATCTCTCTCCCCAATCCATCATAACAAACGGACTCTGTCACTTCTCCCTCGAGTTATGCCCAGGTCGAGTTACACACACACACACACACACACACTGTGACTTTACTCTGGTCATTACCATCTCTCTCTCTCTCACACCTAAACCACTTGGTTATTATTTCAATAACCCGGCACCTCGTTTGCACCTGTAATCAAGTGTGACTATTATTTTCAATACTCTAATGCTCTCCTCTTCCCTCTCCTCCCCTCTCCCTCCCCTCTCCCTTCCCTCCCCCCCCCTCCCTCCTCCCCCCTCTCTCCTTTTCCCACCCCTTTCTCCCTCCCTCTCTCTCCACACCCCTCTCTCCCTCCTTCTCCTCCCTCCCCTCTCTCCCTTCCCCCCCCTCTCTCCCACCCTCTCTCCCCTCCCTCTCTCTCCACCTCTCTCCCCTCTTCTCCTGTCCTCTATCCTCTTCACCTACCCGTGTCTCCTTACCTCTCCACCTCCTACCCCCCTCTCTTCTCTCTCCCCTATCCCCTCTCCTTCTCCTCCTACCCCTCTCTTGCCCCCTCCTCACCTCTCTCCTCTCCATCTACCTCTCTCTCTTCCCCCTCTCTCCTCCTCCCACTCCCCACCTCTCTAAAAAGACTTCAACTAGACTATCATTTTCCCAATACTCAGTTGTCCGCACGCACAAATTCAACGCTGTTATTTTGTTTTTGAAATCTATTGTTTTGTTAGAGTCCTTGCCGCTTATCCCCCCAAAATAAACAAAATCATGGCTATTTTTGTTGTTGTTGCTCAACCTAAGGCTTTCTCGATCGCCATTAAACATTAAGTAACTATTGTTTTTCGAAAATGACAAAAATTAACCTAACTTAACCTAACCTAACCTTCACATTCTTTCAAAGTAAAAAAAGTATTAATCTCACTGTCTCCCATCCTTCCCCATAATTAAAACACACACACACACACACACACACACACACACACACACACCAAAAAAAAATTCCACCGTCACTATTATTTTACCCATACAAACCTTCCCCCACACCCCACCATCATCACCCAAACCCCCCACACACCCCACCCCTCACCCCAACCCCACACACCCTGGCGCTCCTTTCGAATACACGTAAAACTAGAGCAATACTTTTTCTCGGTTCGTTACCACTCACTCCCGCTTTTGACTCTACTGATAAAAACGTGAGGTAGAATTGACGATATATGTTTGAAATTAGTTCTAGGGGGACACTTAGCTAAATGTATAGTACGTTCAAGTAGGTCATGTGTAACTGTGTTTGTTTTTTTCGCTAGAGGTAAAAATGAATGGGAGGAAGGAGGAAGGAGGAAGGAAGAATAAGAAGAAAGAAGGAGGGGGAGGAAGAAAGACACAAGGAAGAAGAAGAAGGAGGAAGTAGGAAAAGAAAGGAAGAATAAAGAAGGAAAGGAAAATAAGGAAAAGGAAAAAGAAGAAGAAAAGGAAGTAAAAGGAAGAGAAAGGAGCGTCTGTTCGTGTTCTTTTAGGGAATTTGTTCTAAATTTTCTATACCGAACAACGTATAGGAAGAGTCAATGTGGCATCAATGAGGAGAGACAGACAGACATACAGATGAACAGACAGATAGACAGACAGACAGACAGACGGACGAATAGGCAGACAGATAGACATACAGACAGACAGACAGACGGACGAGAGAGAGAGAGATGATCGAGTCAGTGGTGTGGCATTATGAGAGACAGACAGACAGATAGACCGACAGACAGACGAACATATAGACAGACAGACAGACGGACAGATAGGCAGACAGACAGACAGACAGACAGACAAACAAACAAAGACAGACAAACAGACAGACAGACAGACAAGAGTCATGTACGCAGAGCAGGTTAGAATACAAACTTTTCTTTTAGTCAAGCGTGGTTCAAGACACTGCATTCCTCTCCCCCCTCCTCCTCTTCCTCCTCCCTCCTCCTCTTCCTTGCTCTCTCTCTCTCTTCAAACCTTCCTACCTTGTTTATTTATCTTTATTATGCCCCACCACTTTCGTAGGTAGGGGTCAGGGTTTACAAAGTACTTCTTTTGTTTTGCATATACAGTGTATTCGTCCGTGCGTCTGTCTGTCTGTCGGTTGGTCCTTAGTTGAGTGTTCGTGTGTTCTTAGTTTGTATTCGTCTGTGTTTCGTCCTTAAGTGTCCGTCTGTCCGTTTGTTCGTGTGTTCATTGGTCCTTAGTGGGTGTTCGTCCGTGCGTCTGTCCTTACTGAGTTCCATTAAGATAACCACTTAATTACGATGACTTAACTCACCATTATACTCAAGGGGTTAAAGTTAATTACGATGACTTAACTCACATATACTCAAGGGTTGATTAAATTACGATAACAACTCACAAATATCTCAAGGTTAAAGTTAATTACGATGACAACTCACCTATACTCAAGTTAAGTTATATGACAACTCACCATTATACTCAAGGGGTTAAAGTTAATTACGATGACTTAACTCACCATTATACTCAAGGGGTTAAGTTAATTACGATGACTTAACTCACCATTATACTCAAGGGGTTAAAGTTATCGTGCTTAATAATGTATCTTAAGTGAGTTTGATATATGGGAAAATATGACCGTAAGAACCTTTGAGAATCCGATTAGTAGTGTATCTTAAGTGAGTTTGAGAAGAGAGGAGAGGTTACCGTCAGGAGTAGAGAAGTTACCGTCAGGAGTAGAGAGAGGAATGCAGTACAATAGTCAGCATTACTCAGCCATAAGTTACTCCCACATAAACAGGTCGGAGTGGGTAATAACCTTACAGACATGCACTACTAACTCTCCTGTACTGACGGTGCATCCTCTCTCTCTCTCTTACGTAACTCAGTAAAACTTATTACTGTAATGTAGTTCTCTTCCAATGTGTGTGTGTGTGTGTGTGTGTTTCTGTCTCATACTCTCTCTATATATATATCTATCTATCTAGCTATCAATCTAACCACTTACATCTATCTATTCATCTATCAATCAATCTATCCATCCATCTAATATCTCCACTAACCCCCCAGGCGTAGCAGAGACTTAACTGTAGAACTTGGAGACAACTTCATAACCCGGAAATAATTGCATGAGCGTCTGTGTCAAACTTACATCTCTATCTGTCTATCTGTCAGTCGTGAATGATAAGAGTGCCATTTTACTTATTACGTGGCACTATTCTATGAGTAACCTCTTTGGCATTGAGTTCAGGTCAGGTCAAATAGCAAGGGAAAAATAATACTCTGGTTTGTTTAGTGTAGGTACGGCTTACATTAGATTAGGTCAGGTCAGGTCAGGTCAGGTCAGGTCAGGTGAGTGAGTATTTTTCACCCCATCTCAGGTACCATAACTTATTGGTTCTCGAGAGGAGGAGGAGGAGTAGGAGCAGGAGGAGCAGGAGGAGGAGGAGCAGGAGGGAGGTAGGAGCAGGAGGAGGAGGAGCAGGAGGAGGGCAGGAGGCAGGAGGAGGAGGAGATAGAGGAGTTAGGGGAGACGGAGGACGAGAAGGAGGAATAAGGAAGAAAGACACGGAAAGGAGGAGGAAACTGTGTACTGTCAGCTTCAGGGTTGTCTGTGTTTGAGGGTAGTAGGTGTGTGTGTGGGGGGGAGGGGCAGGTGTGTGTGTTTGGGGGCAGGTGTAGGAGGGGGCAGGTGTATGTGTGTGGGGGGGAGAGGAAGGGGGCAAGGTGTGTGTGTTTGGGGAGCAGGTGTAGGAGGGGCAGGTGTGTGTGTGGGGGAGGAAGGGGGAGCAGGTGTGTGTGTGTTTGGAGAGCAGGTGTAGGAGGGGGCAGGTGTATGTGTGTGTGTGGGGGGAGAGGAAGGGGAGCAGGTGTGTGTGTTTGGGGAGGGGAGGGGAGCAGGTGTATGTTTGGGGGAGCAGGTGTAGGAGGGGGCAGGTGTATGTGTGTGGGGGAGAGGAAGGGGAGCAGGTGTGTGTGTGTTTGAGCAGGTGTAGGAGGGGGGACAGGTGTATGTGTGTGTGGGGGAGAGGAGGGAGCAGGTGTAGGAGGGGCAGGTGTGTGTGTGTACCAGGTGTGTGTGTGTGGGGGGGGGGAATCAGGTGTGTGTGTGGGGGAGATCAAGGTGTGTGTGTGGGGGAAGCAGGTGTGTGTGGAGGTGGGAGATGAACGGCAATCAATAGGGTCTTATATACAGTACAACACATTATCTCAAGTCACGCTGAAGAAGTTTATTGCCGCCTCCTCCCGGATCTGAGTTCACTAATGCCTGCCAATTAAGTGGTAAACCCTGTGCTCTAAGTCTCACCTCCTTACCCC